TTAACCTTCAGTTAAACATAGTGTGTGTTCGTATATATAGTGTAGTACATTGCTATATATATATTTGTGGATGTCTGAACATCTGACTCTGGAATTGTCAGCAAACAGCTCTGTATTTGACTACTCAGACTAGGGAGGCCATCTTTAATAAATTGCTCATGAATACATATAGCAGCACAGGAAAACCTGCATGGCAAAACTGCCCGTCGCAACCTCCAACAGCACCCTCAGGCCAGCTGCAGGGTCATCAGCCAGGAGCCACCCTTCATTGATGTTTCGCTTCATTATTCCTGGAACATCTCGGTCTGGTGGAGCCCCCTGCAACTGACCCTAGTATGCCTAAGACCCTTGCCTATCCCTCGCCTTATTTTTTCTCCTCAACCAAGGCCAGAAACTCCCCTTGAAAACACAGTTTTAGGAGACTTTTTAATCAGTCCATAACTACTTCCATACATCAATGAAAAAGTATAAAATGACAAACTCTCCTGATATACTGTATTCAATTCAATTCAATTTTATTTATACGGCGCCAAATCACAACAACAGTTATCTCATAGTGCCTTTCTTAAAAGAGCAGAAAATACTCTGTGATATTATTTACAGAAACCCAACAATTCCTGATGGTCATTTAGCAGCAGTGAAATGAGGTTTATTGCTCAATGACCAGCTGATGTGCTGCACAGTTTTGTTTTAATAATTACCAGGAGCAGATAGATACAATACATTATAGGATGTCGATTTGATTGATTTTAACGTATGTAGTATAATATTATATAACCATTACCTCCTCTATGTCCTCTGCTATCAAGCCTCTCTCCCTGTTCATATGTCAAGTGTTTATCAACTCATAGTATTTGAGGCAGAGGATCTCGCTACTTCTGCAATCAGTAGTATTAGTAGTATTTGACTGTTTTATGTTATGTTGCCTATGTGTTAGCGGTGGCATCATCATGCAAGCAGGCAGACGTGTGCTGTGAGCATGCTCAGTCACCACCTGTGTATGTGTGTGTGTGTGTGTGTGTGTATGTGTGTATGAGGAGGGAGGCTGATGTGCGGCTTGAATGCTGATCAGCTCCGGGCCTTGGTGATGTCACACACTGTGATATCACATGAGGGGGAATGGACCTAGAGGAAAGGCAGGGTGGACAGACAAAGAAATTACTCAAACACTCACTTATGTTACCACAATCACATGCATAACTGGGACATCTACCTCATTTAAAAGTGAAAAGAGTATTTGTTTTTTTTTGTTTTTGTTTTTTTTCCAGAAACCTGTAACACGCACTGCCTCATCATTGCTCACCAGCACAGCTATCTCTGGTTGTCATGGCAACAGCTACAGGCCCGACCAGCCTGTTATCTCACTCCAGCAACACGCACACACGATAGGTAATACCGTCACTGTATCGCCCACACATAGTCATTACTTTATGTCTGTACCCTGCAGACTTTCATTTATCAACACTCAAAATGAGCCTTAATTCATCAATGGAGGAAAGTCTGAGATTAAAAAGAAACCATAAAATTAAATTCCTTTCACATAAATTAAATTAAATTAAATTACAGCTAAATCTGCTCCTCTTGCGATGTCCGGTGACATTCCTGTGAAAATCACCACCCTTGCGCTTTAGTTGTATCCATTAGCAGTCACATTGTATAGCTGCTGTTGATTTGTGTTTGCTTTGATGGAACAGAACAGTTCCTTCTGCTCCCTACATCCCTCAGTAACGACCCCAATCAGATTTGGTCATAACCATGGAATATAATGCATGTCACCTCTTATAAGTCTCTATCAAGCCCAGCGGCTGCTGTAACAGTAGGTCAAACAAGGTTGCACACTTGTTTGACCTAAAGGATCTTACACAAGGGGGATGACATGTTCACTGTTATTATTGTTGTTGCAGCATTCACACAAAAGCTAAAGTAAATACTCAACAAACAAAGTTTATTTTCAATTCACTATACTACATTTCTATTTAATATACTAGAGTGTAATAACATCTTTGAGATCAACCCATCTCTCTTGAGCTGAATATTGTACTGTTGGTTCCAGTTTAGGATACTCCTGTGGGTACATTTTTACCCTTTTTGTCGGTGGTGTTGTTTCTAAAATGAGCAGCTGGTCTTTCCGTGGCTCTGCCTCAGGAACAGTGTTAGATGGTCAAGTTTGATTAGCATGCTTCTTCATGGTCAGATAATTTCCCGAGGTAATATTGTAGGACAAAGAAAGATACTCTAGGTGATCATTTGGACCTACTTTGGGGTCCAAAGAGTAGTTTGAAGTGAAGATCAGATCTCCTGGAGTAAAAGTGTTTTGGTTGTGCCATTGTGTGTTAGCAGCTTTGGTTGAACCGGGGTCATATATTGATCCCTATCTTTCTGACCAGCATTTCAGCAGGACAGATCCTTGTTGCATGAACGATGCTGAACAGGAATCTTTTTCCCTGGGAAGTGTCACTTTTCATTTTACCTAACCCCTTGTTAAAAGTTTGCACTGTTCTATCTATAAAGAGTAATTTTTCATTACTCATTTTTATAAATGACTCAAATTTAGTGCTTGTGATCTGTAGTAACAGACACCATGAGAAAGATCTGTCACTCAACATGGATTTGTGACCTCAGGGTTGAGGGAGTGTCTGGGTGGGAACTACACCCAACAAATGCCTTAATCAAGAGGATGAAAGTTATGCATAATTAAGGATGTGTGCAGTCGATAGGTGGTTTCAGTAACCCGCCTCAGATGCACCTCTTTGTCCGTTTTTATAATAGTTGGCATCAAGCACTTCAGAAACCTACAGGTGACGTCACGGAGACAGTGTCTTATGTGTGTTGTATTCACTGGTGAGTCGTCCGCCTGTACAACACCTGTACATTTCCTTTTCTTTTACTTTTTTAAGGTACACAACCTTGCTCAGTATATCTGCTTTTGCAAGTTGTTTCCTTGGCTGTAAACAATGTTGCGCTCACACACACACAGCCCGTACTTTTTGGGCAATCTGTTTCTGTAGGTTGAAAATAGATACAAGCAGCTTACGATCAGTATAGATATGGAAGGATGGACTCCTATACAAATCTTTTTAAGCTGCAGCTTTCAGCAAGCAATAGGGAACAAACCACTCTCCATTTTATGTTTTGGGACAATTGTGATGCCATACAGTCAGGCATCACATGACAGGATGAGTAATGGACTAGTCCCTCAGCTGACTGCAACCGTCATCACCGTCTACATCCTTCATCCTGGATGAATCCTACTTTCTTGCTATAGTATCATCCAGATAAAATGCTGCTATTAGCATGCCTTGCAGTAGGTCTTCACAATCTGTTGGAATATTAATAATAATAAACATGACACTTTATAGTTATATTCAGGTTTTGCAGGTCTGTGCTCAGGCTTTGTTGACGCTTTTTAGTCTCTTCTACTGTATGTGCTGCTATGTCCTCAATAGTTGTCCTGTTAGTAACTTGCGACCGTTCTTAAGACCATTTTTTGATGGTCTTGGTCTCGTCTCAGACTCGACCGCATTTGTACTTGGTCTTGTCTCGGTCTCAGACATTGAGGACCAATGACCCCAATTAAAAATGTGTTGTCACCGTTAGCGACTGTCACCCCTCCCCGTGATGGTAAGCATGGAGTGTTGAAAAAAGATGCTTATGTTGATTTCAGCTCTTAGTGTTTGTATGTGGGTGTTTAATGTGGATCTTTCTGATCAATTTAAGAAGTATCTATGATCTGGTTCCACATTTTATTGTGTGTCATGCAATGTGGAGAAGTGGTCTCGCCCTCCCTCGGTCTTGGTCTCGACTTGGTCTCAGCCCCTAAAAGTCTTGGTCTTGTCTCAGTCTCGATAAACTCTGGTCTTGGTCTTGACTTGGTCTCGGTTTGGGCGGTCTTGACTACAACACTCAAGTCTTACACATGCAGGTGGAAGTCTTTCATCGGTAACTGAACAAGTTGTTGGTAGGTTTTGTCATTTGGATTTTCTGAACTGAGAAGGTTTTTCGTAAGGGTGTATGGCAATACCCTTACCATACTGATTAGAATGGCTGTTTGCCTATCTCTATTGTCTGTTTGATCATTTTATCCTTGCTGTATTTTTTTATTGTTTGTTTGTTTATATATCTGTATCTTAGCCCTTACTGTTAGCTGCTTATAATGGTACCGTCCTGCATACACACTGTCATTCATTTCCCTCTCCACATTGTGTTTAGACCATGAATGGACAGCAGACTTACTTCTCACAGTCAGTCGTACATTCACTGAAAACAGTAGCGGCAATTAGACTGTTCTTGTTCTCTCTGTATTCTGTAGAGAGGGGGCGTCTGCCACCAGAATAAATGTGGAATGGGAGAAAAGAAACGAATTCAACAGAGATCTGGAGGTGTCATGAGCTATATACAGCAGGGACTGGATATTTTTGGTCACTCTGCCGAAGAACAAATTACCCACAAACCACAGCTAAGCTTGGTGTGACACTTTCCAATTTTTACCCAATAGTTTGTGTTCACACCTCTTGGCTAAACTATCAGTGTGTGTGTGTGTGTGTGTGTGTGTGTGTGTGTGTGTGTGTGTGTGTGTGTGTGTGTGTGTGTGTGTGTGTGTGTGTGTGTGTGTGTGGTGTGTACTATATTTGTCCAACAGAGAGTGGGAGTTTGTGTGGATAGAAGGGTTGTGTGTGGGCGTTATATTTGTGTATATATTCTGTAGGGAGTAAACTGTATGTCAGTGTGTGTGGGCTTGTGCCGGCCTGCTTGTCTCTGAGTCAATCAAAGATGCTGGATCTCAGTTAGCCAGCTGTCTCATCTGGACCAGCGTAGCTATAAATTACTCACAGTGCCAGACTGGCTGTAGAGGTGGCGTGTAAAGTAAGCAGGGACAGGTTTAGTCCCTTTTCAATCCATGTAGCCACTGGAGCATCACAGACACACGACACATGCGTGTTTTTTTTTTATTTCCGTAATGAATGAATCAAGGAAAAAAAAGCTTTTCTAAATCATCAATTTTTTTATAAACTTTTATTCTTTTTTCCGTAAAATTGTATTGTCATGCTGCCACATCATCATTAAAGCAGTTATAAGCTATTTGTTTTATAATAACTAGATCAAAGGACAAAATGGAAACATTGTGAAAGGGGTCATTAATGATTAACCTACACAGAATTATCACCTGAATCTGAAGCTGCCAAGCTTTATAATCTGATGTTTTTTGTGACCCTCGCGATGATGTTTCAATAATTGGTCTTCTGACTTGATATTTTGTGGTCGTGGTGTCTTGTCTGTTTAGATGGTCGTGTGTATGGACTGACATTAAATCTTTCTTTGTTGTCTTTGAAAAGAGATCTCTTTGAGACTACAAACAATGGCAGATAATTAAGTGTGATTGGATAGTGGCAATAGAAATGGCTGCCAGAGACATGAAATATGTTCATGACGTATTATCCGTATTTACACCCTTTCATTTTGTTTTGAATTTATTTTATAAGGGGACCATTTGTACTGTTACTGATGGGAGAATTCCATTAAAACCCTTCTTTCAATAATGTTTGATCCTTGTTTACAACTAAAGCAGCAACCTCTTGAGGTCAGTGACACACACAGCAGCCTGTGCAAATACACTGCTTTCAGTCTCTGTCCTACTGAGCCCACTTCAGATAACTGTGACGCCCATTCTTTTTGCTAGATGAATTGGTTTTTCTTGTATTTACATCATCTAATCAGTGATGTTACTGTGACTCACAAGCTGACCTCATTATTGCCATCATGTTGGATGAGGTAACCTGTACTGAAGGTTAGGTTCAGTCAACTCACAAACACATACACACACGCGCGCACGTAATGTATTTATTTTATTTATGTATAGCATGCACACAAAGGAACATGTACTGTATGTACACACACACACACACACGCACACACAATCACATCCCGCTGCACTGCAGGAATGGAAGGAAAGGGACGGGATAGATTTTCCACTGACTTCGGTCTCAGCCAATCACACAGCAGGTGACCTCAACTCTGTTCCAATCCAAGCCAATCAGTGGTGATGATGAGCTCCCACTTCTTTCATGTCTGGGCCCTGATTTGCTGCCGTCTTGTGACACAGTGAGAGAAGCAGCCTGTGCTCTTCACATGGGAGCTTGTGTCGTACACACAGAAGCAGGCGGGTAGTCAGGCAGCCAGCCCTGTTTGGGAGCTGTTGACAGAAACATTTTTGCTGTCCTGGTGCTTTGGCATCTACCTAGCATCCGCACGATCATCAATTATTCACAACCTCAGCAGTGTGTCCCTGCATCCGGGTGTATGCGTGTGTGTGTGTGTGTGTGTGTGTGTGTGTGAGTGCGTGCACATGTCAGTGTGTATCACACTGTGTGTGTGTTCACAATATGCTCTCATAGGATCTTTGGGGAGCCACGTTCCTGCCGCTCCTCTCTCAGAGTCTTCTTTTCCTTTCTGAAACATGGGCTCGTTTCTGTGGACATTCGCAGGACAGGAACATGATGCTTCATTAATGGACTTTGTACAGCTGATTTACATTGAACCTCTTCAGAAGGAGATCTTTTACTGGCCTGTGGACTGTTTTTGTTTCGGCATCTGTCTAGTGCTTTCATAATCCGAACTGTATTTTGGGCTATAAACCTGTGCTTTTCTGTTTCTGGATCTATTTTGTTGATTTGTCAAAATGCCTGAAGCAAATTATCTGCTCTCTGTGTCCTGGGGATATATAAAGGTAAGATGTGGTCTCAGATTAATGTGTTTTAATTAATTATTCAGGTGATTTTTTTTGTACATGTCATTGTACTTGTCGGTCATTTCAGGTTTCTTAGTGCGACAAAGCTCTCTTAGATGGAATAAAACAGTAACTGTTAGAGCTCTGTGAAGACTTGTTTTAGGTCAGCAATCCTCTGGATAGTTGGTTTGCTCCATATTTTATGTTATGAGGGATGTTTATTTAGGTTAGCCCCAAATCCGAATTCTTAAAATTTTTGTGTGACTTTATCTGACTGATTATTTCATTTATTTGTTTTAATAATTATGCGTCAAATAAATATAACGGATATGTGTGTCACTTTTCTACTCTACTGGGTCTTACTACCTGACAAAAGCACCTTACAGATGGTTCTTCGCCTCTTGTGTCTCCATTTAAAAAAATCACCCAATGAATACACTAGGGTGCTATTCAATAGGATGTCAATATACAATTGCACAGTAAGCACTCTGTAGTGTTGCAATGGTCTATTTTAAGATTTAGATTATAAGATTAATCAGTTTAAGACTGATTAATATATGTATATAATTAATCAATATACATAAATTGTTCATTTGGACAGAAGTCGGAATTATTCCGACAATGCAGCTGCTTTTGTTCGAGAGGTCTTTGTTTTGCAATTCGTTTTATAACGCACTTGTTGTTTTGCAGCCACTTTGGAAAATCCCAGATTTTAAGCATTATCCTTCACATCAATCAGTGTGGTCTTCTAATCAAAAGTCAGGCCTAAATTTAGGTGTGCCACTCCAATTAGTCACAGGAGAGTGACAAAGGAATGGGGTGAGGGAGAGGCAGAGAGGAGTAGGCAGTGTGGCAGCGAGAAACTGAAATTGAAAGAAATAAACTGGGAAAATGGGTTACTGATTACGTACATCCCTGGCAGGAACCTTCTGACCCGCTGTGTGTGTTTGTGTGTGTGTTACACCAGAAATGGTGACCTTCCTGGGTGCAGCTCCTGTGATGTGAATTTCAAGAATATGTTGGTAAAAGGCAGTAGCCATGTCAATAAAATCATTTGATTGACTGACATCAGCATCGTGAAAATGTATGTTTAATAAAAGAGGTTTTGAATTAGTGGCCCCTACAATGTAGGTGCCTCACACCTTTTGTCTCAAGTGTATTCATAGTCAAATGAACATAGTTTGTTGGGCTCGTGAATTGTGTTTGCAGTTTCTGTGCATTGCTTGGTAGGGCTGGGGGAAACATTTTCTTTGATTCCTGAATCAATTTTCTTTATTAATTATTATTAAGCAATTTATTATTATTCAAATCAGTCTTATATATTAAAATTATTATTATTGTTGCTTGATGAACAGCTAAATGTAGCAGTTTACTTCAAAAAGTATTTTATTTATTACTTTTTATACGACGTACAGCAGCAATGATGAAGACTGACATGTGATGTGCATTGTTTGTGGAAATATGACTCATGATATACATATTTTTTTACCATGGTCTAGTGTTAAAAATGTGTAATGTGTAATGTTGTAATATTGAATTATCTAATAAATATATATGTATAGCTGTAAAAAAAAAAAAAAAAAAAAGGAAAAGAAATGTAATTGTAATTTTTCTGCTCTGTATTATACAGTGTGAAACCCCTCATCTGTGTATGTGTGTGTGTGGCCCTCTTTCAGTTCAAAAGGATGTTGAACAGGGAACTGACTCACCTATCAGAGATGAGCCGTTCTGGGAATCAGGTGTCTGAGTTCATCTCCAGCACCTTCCTGGGTGAGTGATGACACGGAAAGGTAGACTCACTGGTTTGGAATGAAAAACAAAAAATCTCCAACTTGCCTGGAAAGTAAATAATTAATATGGTACCAAGATTCAGAGTACATCTATTGTGTCCTATTGTGTATGTGGCCAAACACAGTATAAATCAAATTCTAAACCCCTGTTTAATCTTCCAGAAGTGTTAAACCTCCTAAACAAGGTAAAGGTGTTTTTACTTAAACCATTCATCTTCCACTTGTGTTTCACTGCGTCTTTTCAGACAAGCAACATGAAGTGGAGATGCCAACCCCTCAGACACAGAAGGAGAAGGAGAAGAAGAAATTGCCCATGTCTCAGATCAGCGGGGTGAAAAAGCTGCAACACTCCTCCAGCCTCACAAACTCTAATATCCCTCGCTTTGGAGTCAAGACCGAGACCGAGGATGAACTCGCTAAGGTGCGCTTCTGTGTCCTGACAAACACACAAGCTGTGCAGCAGCTAAATTAAACTACACACTGACATGAATGCAGTGCACGGCATCTGAAATGTACTTTGGGGTAGGGGCTCCGGTAATAACGCAGGAAACGAAGGAAGGTTTTTAATTGTGTCTCTAATTCCATTCGCAGGAGCTGGAGCATGTGAATAAATGGGGCCTTAATGTTTTTAAAATCTCAGAATTCTCTGGGAATCGGCCACTGACAGTCATGATGCACACGATATTCCAGGTAATGACTGTCACTCCTTGTTTTTGTCTTAATCTTCCACTGCAAAATAAATGCTAGTTTTGACCATGAACTCCTTCTTGTGTTTTCTGGTTTCACAGGAGAGAGACTTGTTGAAAACTTTTAAAATTCCACTTGACACCTTTATAACATACCTGATGACCTTAGAAGACCACTATCATGGCGATGTGGCTTACCATAACAACATTCATGCTGCTGACGTCACCCAGTCAACTCACGTGCTGCTATCCACCCCTGCCCTTGAGGTGTGTGCATACACAAAGCAAATGAACACAGTTGCACACACATGCACAGACATATACACTTACACACAAACACATAGCCCACGCTTCCACAATCAGCTTCAATCAAACTCCTGCTCAAAGTCCAATCAATGGCTCTTACTTACAAGGATATTTTTGTCCCAACGATTTGATTCTCTCATCAATGCCCTCCCTCTGCCCCTCTGCACTTCGTTCTTGTCTTCCAGGCTGTGTTCACAGACCTCGAGATCCTAGCTGCCATCTTTGCCAGTGCAATTCACGACGTGGACCATCCTGGAGTCTCCAACCAGTTCCTCATCAACACCAGTGAGTCTAAATATGGCACTGTCTTAGCAGCTACGTCAGTGGCTCAGCAGTGTCATTAGTGCGTATTCACGAACACACATTCACAGTCTGAGAACCAGGTGGGAACAATCACACACGCACACACAACCATATTGCAGACAATTAAACGTTCTTACATAAATTAAATTTCATATATACACAAACTCGGCACATGCTATGTAGACATTATATGCATGCACACGTGCATGTATCATGTCACATGTGATGGCTTTGACGTGTAATTCCAAGGTAGAGGAATTCAAAGAGGAGATCAATATTGTCCTCAGTAGTACCCAGTATAATACTAAAAATAGTAATTAATTCAGGCTAACATGTTTTCAGGAAAAAAACAAACAAACAAAAAAAGGACATGGATGTAATAGGCCACACTGCAAAGGAAAACTTTTGTTTGACATGTTCTGTGGTATAAATGCTGTTGTGGGGGGGCATAGTAGTTAAATTACAAAAAGTAAATAGTAAATAAATCATATTTTTTCATGTGCCTCTAGTGCTATCCATCTATACAAACGGCTGCAGATAGTTTTGGTTATGAGGTATCCATCACTGCATCCACACAACTAACTACAATGACCTTGATAATCAGACTGAATTTTATTTTCACTTAATTTTTCACATTTTAGCCATCTCCTGTTTGGGAAAGGCTGGATGAAATCTGTGGTTTTCACTGCATTGAAAAATGACATTATAAAAACAATCTTCGAAGCACTATCTCTTCCCGGATTCGCTGTCCCCATTACTCTGGATAAACCACAGACCTCACTGTGAGCGTTTTTTTCTGTTGGGACTATAAAAAAAAATAGTCCCTATTTTTACCCTTGACTATGGATGCAACGATTACAGATTTTGTTGGTACGAATATAGTCAGAGGAATAATCACGGTTTCACGATTATTATGCATTAATTAATTTCACAACACTAGTAATGACTTAAGTTGATTTTAATATTTAATAACATTAACAATTCCATCCATCCATCCATCCATTGTCAACCGCTTATCCTGCGTACAGGGTCGCGGGGGGGGCTGGAGCCAATCCCAGCTGACATCGGGCGCAAGGCGGGGTACACCCTGGACAGGTCGCCAGTCCATCGCAGGGCCACACATAGACGAACGACCACTCACGCTCACACCTAAGGACAATTTAGGGTCACCAATCAACCTAGTCCGCATGTATTTGGATGGTGGGAGGAAGCCGGAGCACCCGGAGAGAACCCACGCAGACACGGGGAGAACATGCAAACTCCACACAGAAAGGCCGGGGAAACCGGGGTTTGAACATTAACAATTATATTTCTATAATATGTATTATTAATATAAGAGGAATATTAACTTCATTTATCCCCCAGGGGAACTTGTTATTGAGGAGGGTAATAAACTGAACTGTTATTCTCATCAACTCTCATCTATACATATAAGTTTTAGTGATACAAAGAAATTGAGAACATCTCTCATGTTATTAATAACTGAAATGCAGTTAGCCTAATTGGAAGTCCTGGAAGTCTATTAACTCCTGATGTTATGTTAGTGTTTTACACATGGCAACATTTTCTAAACAAAGACAGGATGAGGCCACATGATGTAACGTTAAATGTTCATTTACTGAAGGTATTGAGAGGACCACGTTCCATAAAGGCCTTTTCAGGAAAGAAGCGATTTGCAGTGGGTAGAAGCTGGGTTCAGCGCAAAAGTTCAACTACTTTGACAGGGGCGTGCGCGCGGTGCACATTGCTCGACGCAGCAACAAACCGCGCTGTTGTTGCGGTGGGTCAGAAAGTGTACACCTACTTTGTTTGTTTACGTTGCGATGAAAGCTCGACTCTCACCACTACGGCATCGATTGTAAGTGACACGTTTAGCCTATAGTTAATTCCCTACCAATTTGCCACTTTATTTAACTCAGTTATTATGTATTACCTTTACTTGGGAAAGCTTTGCAAAGCTGGGTGGTGATCACGCAGGTGCTGCATCAAGTCTAATGTAGTTATTCGCTCCTTAGCAGCAACATTTTAACAGCAAGGTTTTGAACAGGTGATCCATCACCTCTTAAATAACGCCCTGGCCAGTCTTGGTCTACCCGAAATGCTCCCACACTGCCGACTTCAGCAGTTCCTTTGGTGGAAATATAGCTTCACGGTTTTGTCCCTCTGCCATAGTATAGCCAGTGAACAGTTGTAGCCTCCATGCCTCTGATAAGCACGACACTTCAAGCTGGTGCACCGCTCACCGTGTAACTTTGTTTTCGTTTTGTGCAAGTTGCAACAGAAACACTCGGTGTTGCAGAGACTTTACGATTAATTAACTGTGACGTTTTAAAGCACAATTAATAGTAAAAACCGGTAATCGCTGCATCCCTACCCTTGACACTGAGGTCTGAGCATTTTCCGGAGTAATGGGGACACTGATTATGGGAATAGATGCGGCTGTTTTTTTATGAGCACCACAAACCATTCACCTCCACTATATGTTGCAGCTATCCGCAAAATCTTCTGCATGACTAGATACGAGCCAAGGGTAGTGGTGGAAATGGGTGAACCGAGTCTTAAACCAGACTAACAGGGTTCATTTAGTTGTGTTACACAAACAAAAAAACAAAACACAAACAAAAAAAGTATATATCTGCTGGGTATCACTTTAAACAGCCATGTTGCATAATGGTATTAGTAAAACCTTATCAGAACAGAAAAGACACTGTGCAGTCTCACACACTTAACACAAAAAATGTGTTGTACTTCCCATAAGCCTAAATAGGGAATCCCTGCAGTAAAGGCAGTGTGAGTCATCCTAGATAGGAGTCACTAGAATGATCTTCTGTCAGCCACATAGCAACAGAGCAAGATCCCCTTTCTCCCTCCTGCTGCTCTGCTTCACTGTGGCCACGACTAATGCATCTTAATGGGAAATCTAAATACAGATAGAGGACCTTGAAATGACCCAGAGTGGGGAAACCTCTCAGCGGAAAACATGCTGGTGCTTTCTTCTGCTACTCACGGAGCAAAGGATGGATGATGCATGTGTAGCGGAAGCACATATAAACTTTTAGAGATGTAATTAGGACCTCATTGTGTTGAAAAGATGTACCTTGTTGCATTGTATGTATTGCCTTACAAAATAACCCGGGCAGAACAGATTTCTTGATGCATATATTCTGTTAATGTCATGTTTTAAATGTTCAAGTTTGGTTTTCTTATATACTTTTGAACCACCTGTACCGTTGTAAAACCTGAAAAATTTCACTTCCTTAGCCTAAAATGATCATTTGTGTCCTCCATGCAGATTCAGAGCTAGCGCTGATGTACAATGACTCGTCTGTGTTGGAGAACCACCATCTAGCAGTTGGTTTCAAGCTTCTGCAAGAGGAGAACTGTGACATCTTCCAAAACTTGACCAAAAAACAAAGACAATCACTGCGAAAGATGGTCATTGACATTGTAAGTGAAAAGATCACATTGCATTACATCTCTTCTATAAAGTTGATACCTACTGAACTTAAGTGGAATGCAATATGTGCACTACATTATACACTCATTCAATCAGTTTGTTCTGGGTATTCCTAGGTGCTAGCAACAGACATGTCCAAGCACATGAATCTACTGGCTGATCTGAAAACTATGGTGGAAACCAAGAAGGTGACCAGCTCTGGTGTCTTGCTGCTGGACAACTACTCGGACAGGATACAGGTCAGAATAAATCTGCTGGCCAGTAAAATCTAGATCCATGCCCTTGTTATGTGTTTTTATTTTTTTTTCCGTGGTCCTCTCAAACATTCTGCAACACTTCCATGGTCTTACCAAATTTGTTTGCGACTACGGGTCATGTGAAGCAGTAATGTGATAGTCATTTCGGCAATGTTTTTCTCCCTTGTCCTAAAGTTCAGCTTTGCCATTGGTCAAATGCTGAAACCAAAGCACATACTTTACCTCTGCAAGCAAATCCACTAATCACAATTATGTCATTAAAATGAGATGACCTCAGCCTGGAATTTCCCTGATGTAAATGATGCTGTGAGCGAGCCCTTGAGCTTCAGCCTACCCCACATCATGGAGCAGGCGGCTGGCATGGACACCGTGTTTTTTTATTATATATTCAGGTTCTCCAGAACATGGTGCACTGTGCAGACCTGAGCAACCCCACTAAGCCTCTCCAGCTGTACCGCCAATGGACGGACCGCATCATGGAGGAGTTCTTCAGCCAGGGGGACCGAGAGAGAGAGAGGGGCATGGAGATCAGCCCCATGTGTGACAAACACAACGCCTCGGTAGAAAAGAGCCAGGTAATACACAAACAAACGTACTGTACATGGACTTGCATATTGTGAATAGACACACACTGAATTACCTATTTCCCCCCTCATGCGTCCTGTAGGTTGGTTTCATAGACTATATCGTTCACCCTTTGTGGGAGACGTGGGCTGACTTGGTCCACCCGGACGCCCAGGACATCCTGGACACACTGGAAGACAACAGGGAGTGGTACCAAAGCACCATCCCCCAAAGCCCCTCTCCTGCCTTGGATGAGTCTGAAGATGGCACTCGACCCCCAGGAGGGGACAAGTTCCAATTTGAGCTCACACTGGAGGAGGACGGGGAGTCGGACACTGAGAAAGACAGCGGCAGCCAGCCTGAGGAGGAGGAGGACGAGGAGGAGGAGGACGAGGAGGAGGAGGACGAGGAGGAGGAGGAAAACAGCTGTACTGACTCTAAAACACTCTGTACGCAGGACTCTGAATCAACGGAGATTCCTTTGGACGAACAGGTGGGGGAGGATGAAGAGGAGGAGGTAGCGGAAGAGGGGGAGACACCCTGCTCACAACCATGTGCTGTGGAGGATGAGGTAGCAGAGGAGGAAGAGGAGAAAGAGAAAACCCCACACACATAGCAGTTTATGGACAGCACCTGATTAACTGTTCTTCTTAGTAATGACAGATGATTATTTATAGAATATTTTTTTGGGTTTTGTGGAGTCTGTCTGTGTTTTTTATACATCTATGTTTATGGTTCCAAAGTGTGCGCTGCTCTCCACCTTGGCCAGTCCTTCTTTCAGCTTTGTTCAGACACGCCCACTGGTACTTCTTCAAGTTTTTTTGCACTCAGGAAAACTCCTTTCCATTCCCGTTTGTACTGAAGTGGTGTGTCTTTATTTCACTTTTACACCTCCCCTTTACAAGTTTAGGTTCAGGACATGGACGAGCGGCTCATAGTCCACTCAGTGCTGTTCACACGATACAAAATATCAAATTTTCCTTCCCTACGCTTCGTCTCAGCCTTGCTTGAAAGTTTTGCAGTGTTTCTGTGTTTTTATCAAGTGCCCATACTCTACAGAGACGGTTATCGGTGTGTTCAAGGAGAATCTCCCCCTCAGTTAGGTTATTCCCTCCCCATTGCGAATTAGGAGGCATTTTAAGCTGCCGTTCCTGCTGAGAAGAAAGCCGCAGCACACTGGGGAACTTTTCGAGACACATTGCAGATGTGGAAGTCTTCCTTGAAAACCTGACTGATATACAAAGCTCAAATCTAAACAGCCATGATGCTGTCCTAGACCTCTTTAATTTTTGTATGTACTGTATGTAAGATTCAGATATTTTCTAGAAGTTACTTTTGCAATCCTAGGCTTTTTTTTGTTAGCAAAGAAGATTAGAGATCTTTTGGGAACCAATGGGTAGAAATGTGTCACAGATATTCAGTGTTTTGAAGGGGGTATCTTCAAGGCTGGATTACATTAGGAGTGTTCTTAAGTGTTTGCACTTGCTCCAATAGCATTTATACTACAATTCCCATGCCACTATACTCGTATTTGGTTAATCCTGTAAATAAAAATTTGGAATTTATTCATAACCATTATTTGGGTGAGCAGGAACCTGAAGTCTTATGCTTTACTCTCATTGAAACTGGGATGTGGATGAAGCCTTTCTAATTTTGTTATCGTTGCCTGCAGTTTTTTTGAACACATCCTCAGACAATGCAATGCTTTGTAGTTGATACAAAAAGCACCTTTTTTTAGAAGCTTGATTAGTGCTCCAAGTAGACAGAAACAGCAAAGGTGGTAAAAACTACTGGGGTGATTTTATGCCAGTGTTGTGAAAGCTTTTATTGTCCTCGTATAAATTTTTCTTGCACATGTTGTTCAGAATACACATCATCATCAATAGCTGCATACCTGCTTGTTTCCAGCCACTTTATTTTTATGTTAATTTTGCCATTGCAACATCAAACCCAGTTGCTGTCTTTGTTTTCGACAAGACAATCAGCTCAGCTCCTTTTGCGTAGTCATCAAACGAGATCATCCTCTACATGGATACTTCAATGCACTGACAGATTCATATGTCACCACTTCAATATTTTTAATATGTTTGAACTTGCCAAAACAGTCAGTCATGAATACTTAGGCTTGAACAGTGCTGTCTTACACCTCGCCAAGAGTCTCTTCATCATTTTTCACTTCACACCTGATGCTATTATTTATTGTTATATTTTTCTGTTTGTTGAGTCATTTTTGCAATATAAAGGTGGTACAGTAAATATTTCACTGTAGCATAGACCACAGTACAGGCTTGCCAGTTGCAGTACCCAAATATACTTTTTTTTTTCTCTGTGTACATAAAATATAGAAAATCAACAAATGTTTAAAAAGAAAGAAAAAAAACACACTTGAAATACTGCACACTGCTTTTTTCTAAGAGTGCTTGTTTTAATTATGTGTCATTTCCAAACTTTTTATTTAATCTTTCATTTTGTGCCAAGATTTTCTTTCTCTCTTTTTTTTCCCATCCTCACCCAATGCCCTTACCTGTAATAAAATTGTCTGGTTTTATCGCTGTTTACAAACATATATTTATTGTGCTGTATATAATATAATTATTAATGTTATTACTATCATAATGCCGTTTGTTGTAAATGGTTGATTCTTATCATCCCTTTTGGTGATGGTGTGGCTGTATTACGTACCTCTTGTTGAGAGAATGTTTATTACACATGAGCTTCAGTGTAAAAAATGATCCATCGACATGTTGCTTATCTGAGAACTAGCTCAGTGAAGAGAGGGGGAAAGCCAAATTGTTTTTTAAAAAAGAAACTGTTCCTTGGCCCATGGGCTGTGCCTTAAATTCAACGCATGTCATTTACTTTAGCCTTTTTCTTTCCTATTTTAATTTCTTGTTCTCTTTTGCTGCATTGGTGAATCTTTTGGCTTGGGTTGGCCTGATCTCCAGTTGTAAATTTGCAAATGTTGCCTTTTTACTATCACAGCCAAACACAAATTGGAAAATCTGCTGTCAGTGCAGACACTTACGGAGATTCGGGTCAACTACAAGTCACAGATTTACTACTTGAGTGATGTGTGGCCTATAGCCGGATGTCCAAGAGTCGCATTTGCTGTAGACCTGGTCTGAACAGCTCGCACCTTCCTTACTCCCTGCCTCTACACTCAAAGATGTTACACAGCCGGTTGGATGTAAACTACGCGGGAGTGACTTTGCTCCGTCTGTACAGTTACTGCAGTGTCGTCTACATCCATGTGGTCGTATCCCAGCTACAAACACTGAACAGGGTGCAACGGGAGTGTGTAGTTGCTGCTTGTCCACGGCCTACGAAGCACAGAGGCTTTGAGACACATCTGCATGTTCAGCCACTGCTGCATTAATTATGGCTGAAACACTGACAGTGTGTTGCTTATCTATGCTCGGCCCACACTTTGACTCACATTACTTGCAATATCCAAAACCACTGACATTTTTCTGCCTGGACAGGAGAAGGGTTTAGTATATTTCTGTAGTGAAGAGGGGCTTGGGTGGGAGTGGGGTGCATCATTGTACCGAAACAGGGACTCTTATTTTGACACACATACTGTAGATTCTAAACAGCCCTGGACCAATGGAAACAGTGGGTTCTTTTCTCATTATGTGTTCTATTTTTTATGGTGTGAAAGGAAAACACAAACTGTAACTTAAAAAAAGGTCTTCTGGACAATTATTTTTTGGGTTATGTCTTTAGAATGCCAACTTGTCTGGAAGTTTCACAAGACAATTAAAAATGTTATTTTAATGGATTCCTTGTTAATTGCAGTCTATTGGATAGCACTGTAGATCATACAACTTTATGTAAAAAATTATAATAAAAATAATGAAAAAAAAGTTTTTATATGCAATGGATTAAATAAAAGCATGGGTTGATTCTGCCTACTCACTGGTTTCTTGTCATTGTTTTAAAGGATCATATACTGTCAAGTGTGGTATGGATAATTTCAAATATCCTGCATGTACTCTATATTTGGCATTTCACCAATTCCCCACCGACTGCTTTGGGTGTGAGATGAATCTCACACCTAAACTAGTGGGTTAGGTCTGTAGTTTTTCTGCTTTCTCTACATCTTACAAAGATTCATACTTTTTAGAAGAAAAAGTGGATTTCCTAGAAGGTGCAATAAAGACATTAAGGAATCATACAGTATTTCCATGTTGTCGCTGGTGGAGGTGAAGCTTCTGTTAACATAGTTTTGGACTGTTTGGTAGTTTTATCTACAACAATCAATAATCCATAAAATGATTTAAAACATTTTGTTTGTAAAATCAAAAACTTCAGATAAAGGTAGTGGAGTAAAAAGTACAATGTCAGTCTGGATATTAAGGGAAGTAGAAAGCATTATAACATTCAATTCTTGAGTAACTGGATTTAGTTACATTTCACCATATATTATTGAATGTTAACATTATTATCACTAGTGCATAAACATGTAAGTAGCATTTAAATGTAGCTGTTGAGGCAGATTTAATTAATTATAATTTAATTGTAACTATTTTACATGTACTGTTGGGTAGTCTAAGTAACAGACGCTAGCAGTTAAATGTAGTCCAATATTTGCCTCTGAAATGGAGTAGAGTAGTAGTGAAGCAGTAAGTTATGGAGTAAAATGCAGACCAAAAAGGATGTTTCTGTATAGTAAGTTACTTTCAATATGTACTTTTCCGCTACAACATTTGACCACCAAAAATGTAAGTAAATACAGCATAATGTCAAGTGTTCCTCATTTATCACCAGCTGCAAAGTCTCAGATCTTGGTGCAGGCGTAGCGCTCTGACACTAGGTGGTGTACATGGCCTAGAAATAAAAAAAGGCTTATGCACTGCATCAACAGAACAGAGCAAAGCCACTGAGACAGCAGCCAACGAATCCCTCATTCACGCTTCCATATAGTCAGCAGAGAGCGAGAGTGAACACAGAGACCCACTGATAGAATTTGATTTATTTCCTATAATCTCAAAAACATATTTCTTACTTTGCTTGCACTCCAAGAAACAAATATATTCAGTTATATGTAAAGTCATACTGTTCTAAAATGAGATTTGTTTGGACATCCAAACTGCCACATAACTATTCCTCTGTTATATGAATCTTGACTGGAGATCAATACAATAATTTATTTCATGGCTATTAGCATAAAATTATAATATCACACACATACACAGATGCACACGTGCAAGGCACGTGTACAGTGTACACACATATGCGCAGGGTCTTTCAACTAGTTTATGTGTATACCTTATCTTGGAATTACAACAGTATGGCATGGACTAAGTTATCTCCATGACTATCTTTCACAATAACACTGCATTTTGACATGATAACACAAGTTCAATCAACACCCAACAGTTAGCAGGAACAACCTATAGTACGTGAATACATTTGTACAAAAGGTATACACAAACAATACACTATAGTACGTAATTTGTCTGTTCAATATGGCAGGTACACACACATACACACTTGCACACACACCGAGTCACACATTCAGTGTCTGCAGTTACTGAACAAAGCACACACTCCTCTTTTAGAGATTGTACATCAGTTTCAGAGCCATTCTGACCAAACTGTCACTCACATACTGCAGATAGAGTCGTTGTACTCGAGGACAGGAGAAACTATGTACATGGTTTCATTCATAAAATATTGCACTTATTGGCCCATTGCATCTCACAGCAAGTGCTATGACAATGCTCCTAAATCTGTAACACAGAGTATTATATACACTATCGTACTATATAAATCTACATAGATAAGTCAGGACTGACTTCATGCAATTTTTTGGAGCTTTTGTTCAACTATGCGACAAACAACTGACAATGCTAAAGGAATTGCTGTGTTTTGGCACAAATGTTTTTTTTCTAAGAATTTCAGAACAGAAAGGTTTTCTGGATATTAAAATAAGCTACAGGCTTTATCCTATATAGACTTAACTCCATATAGTATCATGATTAAAACCACTACAGTCCCGTGTATGCCTGCTAAGGGAAGCTTCCCATTTTAAACTACTGTATGTCTTTCAGGAGAGAATTCATTTTCATAACACAAACAATTTTAGCATGCTGACTTAAAAGTTAAACAATACATTTATTTATTTTTTTTTATATGGCTGTTCTTTCCATGCCAGAGCTGATCAGTTGTTGTATATCAAACACTGTACTGTGCCTTTTCAGTGTGTGATTTTATTTAATAAAATGCTGGATTGTTGCTATCATATGGAGCTGAGGATGGTTAGGCTCTATCTTCAGATAAAACAGTACATATGATTGACTTTTTGGCAGCATGCTCATCGCATCAAACTATAAAGGGTCATCTTAGAGACTAAGCACATAGAAGTAGTTGCTTTTAAGATTTACAGATATACTTATCAGAGAAATCACACATCTACAGACAGGAAAATGTGGAATAGTACTCACATCAACATTATACATACTGGATTAATTCCAAAAGTAAGCATGACAGAGGAACTTACAGAGGCCGTGTTGGAGATGCTAAAAGGCCACTTTTTTTATCCAAGGTAGATGATTTTTAGATGGCAAAGTTGAACTCATTTGTGACTCCGACATAAAACTCACACTCGTGCAAACCCACACTCACTTCCTGTACAGTCACACAACAGCCACACACTTGTTACACAAAAGAAAGCCGCTACATCCTATCGTGCACTAAATCATAGATTTGGCAGCTTCAGAAGACAAAATAATCCTATAAAAGGAAAATACATATAGTACAAAAATTAAAAAATAAAAATCATTAAAGCACTCACTGACTCTATCCCTCATTTTCTAATTATTCTAGGTCTTAAAGATTTTAAAAGGTCTTAAGGATTAACTGTACATCATGACTATAGACTATTTCCAGCCTCATCAAACATACTTGGTTTATCACCATACTAACTAGCTGAAGAATGTGAATATGGTGTCTCTTTATTCTAGATATCCCGTAACGTTACACATTTTACAATAGCCATGTCTGTTTGTCTGGTTATTTGCTCTTGATATAAGGTGATAAAAGTTGAGAGATAATACGACAGGATTTTATAATTCTACTACTAAACAGGGTATGAACTGTAGTCCAGAGAAAGCAGCACTAGCAGGAGTGATAATGCTGAGGGAGAACAAAACTCTTCACACTCTACCACCTTACGGGACCTGTGCTGCCCTCCCTTTGCTTCCTGGCATCAGTCACTAACAGTTGCATCCAGGCTGCTGGAGCGGCGGAGCGCTGTCTGTGAGTTTGGCAGTAGGAGCTCCTGTGGTGACGGCCGGATCAGTGTCCAAGCTCTCGGACATCTTGTCGCAAATTAGGTCAACCAGACGTTCAAAGGTCTGCTTCACGTTGATGTTGTCCTTGGCACTGGTCTCAAAGAATTCAAAACCTTTGAAAGAGGAAGAGCAAGTAACGCAAGAACATGAAGTGACAGGACTGACAAAGACAATACGATAACGATTATGATTGAATGATCTTGTTGCTGCTGAAGCTTGAAAATGGTTAAAATGGCTACATTTATAAAGCGCTATCTAAAGCGTGATTTACAATCACACACACACACGTCGATGGCAGCGAGCTACAACACAGGGTGTTGGCTGACCATCGGGAGGAATTTGGGATTCAGTGTCTTGCCCAAGGGCACATCTACATTTGGACAGGAGGATGGGGTGGGATTGACCGGCCAACCCTGTGATCAGTGGATGACCCCCTCTACCTCCTGAGCCACAGCTGCTTGATTATCCCATTACACTGAAACAAAATTTTAACACTTTTGTTTTTATTCTCTCAAATATTGGCCTTTTATTGTGGCCAACCTACATGAGCTACTATAACTAGCTACTAGACCTACTTAAAATGCTCTTAGACCGCAGCCAAGGAGGCAGTATACTCAGGAGTGATAGTTAAAATCTGTAATGGTAAATGTAACTCTGAGTGGCCTTTTATTGTGGCCAACCTACATGAGCTACTATAACTAGCTACTAGACCTACTTAAAATGCTCTTAGACCGTAGCCAAGGAGGCAGTATACTCAGGAGTGATAGTTAAACTCTGTAATGGTAAATGTAACTCTGAGTGGCCTTTTATTGTGGCCAGCCTAAGACACGCCTGTGCAAGACCCATGCTGTCTGATCAGCATCTTGATATGCCACACATGTGAGGTGGATGGATTATCTCGGCAAAGGAGAAGTGCTCACTAACACAGATTTTGACAGATTTGTGAACAATATTTGAGAGAAATAGGCACAGAGGGGTGAATGTTGCTCCAAGACTTACCCAACTGCTCTGCCAGCAGTCTGCCACTATCCACTGAGACCACTCTTTCCTCTTCCATATCACACTTATTTCCAGCCAGCACCACCTGAGCATTATCCCACGAGTAGGTTTTTATCTGGGTTGACCTGCATGTAATCAGAAACAAATACACCCACCCACCCACCCCCCCACAAAAAAAACATCACAGTCAAATAAATGCTGTTGCTGCATTTTATAAAAACTTCCCAGGATCATGTTTGTGGCACTTTGCATTGGACAAGATCCTTAAGAAGTTAACATTAAAGTTGCAGAGCTAAGTACACAATGTAAAGTTTGTTCACCATTTGGGCCAGTCGTGAACAGTCATTGGATCACCTTGTGTCTGGCATCATGTAATATTTGAGTCACTGACGGCAGCAGTGGGAAAGTGGGTCAAAGGCTGCTCTGTAGATTCGATGTAGTATGATGTAATTAGCTTTTTTAGCTTAATTTTCTAGTTACAGTGGAAATCTCTTGTAGTGATCACATCTGTCCGGGTCAAATTGATCACTATAAGCGGATGATTTAAATAAGTGAAATTTCTTTTTTTCATTATTTCTCATGCATATTACCATCTAATTGCCATTTTTATATTTATT